TGTCATTACAGTGACGTACTCTGTCAGGCCCTCTGAAAAGTTGTTGAGAGCATTGCAACGAAGAATTTCAATAAACACAGCTTCAGAAGGTACGAATCGATACCGGTGTACTCCTGAGTGGCATCGAGAGGGTCAACATAAACCAGAACGTCAGAAAGCGTAAGACGGCGAGAAGGAATCATAGCGAGTACATCGCGGATGGACAACCACATCGAGTAAGAATCAGCTCGATATGGCGCTGCATCGGATTCCGAAATGGACGAATCCTTTTCTTCAGTTACAATCTGAAATAAAAATGAGTCAAGGACTGCAAAACAAGATAACACGTGCAACTGCCTACCTTTAGACGGGGAAATCGCTGTAAAACATCGAGGATTAGGAAGTTCGATACGAGATCAGCCTTGGTTAGTAACTCAGCTTTTCCTTCGTCAGTCAGGCCTTTCTGCGCAATATTCAATGCTAAATAACATTACTTTGGCAGAGTTTCCACGTAGTACAAAACAAGAGTAATAACTAGATAGAGCGCTTAAAATAAGGGGGTATCCGAACTGTGGGCGGTGGAAGTGATGCGTTGTCAAGTAACACACTTCTCACGCAGTTGCCCAGGGGTCGAATCCCGAATCACCTGCCATCCAGGCTATCCAGGCATTCAACCCTCGGGTATGCCAAATTGGTACTGATTCGTCTAAGAGGACCAGAACCCTGACTTGTAGATAGCCTAACCCTCGTAACTTATTAGACAGGCAACATCACATTCGATAAGTCATAGTATGATTCCGAGGGAGTAGTGTGCGCCTCGCTTCTCCAAAAGGAACAAATCGCAGCGAAATCTATTTTTTTTGGGCTAACGACGTAGCACTGAGAAAAAACTCTGCTATCAAAGACCTTTAATATATTCGGATTGGTAGTGGTCGTAGGAGACCTGGTTCCTGAAAAGGATGGGTACGGCTACTACTGAGTGGTCCAGTAACAAACAAAGATATGATTCATTTATCTCCCACTAACACCAATCTAAATCAAGACATATGAGCGAAACTCCTCACCGTTCTCCTCGTGTATTTTACGCACAGCATATCCACCCATCTCCACTGCCAAAACAGCATAGCTGCAAATAATACCTTAAAGAGTATCAAAATGAACAGCAGTCAATTTCTAAGACATTGATTACTGAGGAGATGAAACGTAGTCAGGCAGCGTTCAGACTTCGCGTCAACGCGCTACAATGCAACAGCGATCCATTCCTATAGACGCGAACGCTGCCGCAGATGGGAACCGATCGGTGCCGGCCACTTGTGTTTCGAGAGAGTACGGTATAACGCGCTGTCTTCCCACAATCCGCTACTTTCCCATTCTTCTTTATTCACCTAGTGTTCTAGCGGCCAGTGCAGATAGTTACTAGACTGCGTGATTAGGCAACGCATACCCTCCCCACTATCGCGAGGCACGGGCACCCGGCGCCAATCGATACTCGGCTGCGCCTGCATTCGCGACTACAGAATCGGATCGCTGTTGCGGTTGCAGCGTGTGGACTATGATCGCGAAGTCTGAACGATGTCTTAAGTGGTGGCTATAAAGAGCAACTATGCCTCGAAGATCAGCTTGAATACGTTATAAATAGGAAATATTTTACTAAAACAAATATGAAAGTTTTTTGAACGTTAGTACCACTGAAGAGACGAACGAAGCTGACGGGAAGAGGGATGCTTCTTGTTCAAATTTTTGTTACAAAAGTGTCGCTTCCCTATATTGGTAAATGATTGTTTAGGTTACTCGTTCTACTGTCGAGCACTTATGAAGCTATCGCCTCGGCGGACAAGTTTTGGAGCAATCAGTACGAGGGATTCAGCATAGACGATCATTTTCAAACAACAGAGCGAAGTAATGAAAATACGGAAGCAAGCGGACCGCTAAAAGTCACATTCGCTATCATAAATACATAGGGATATTTCCCTGTTTGGGAAGAGATGATAGTTTCCCGACAATCTGCTCGTTGCTGCTCTTCGCCGCCACTTATTCAGATCGTCTGCTACATTGCAATGGAAGATTCTCGCATGTGCCCGCAAATAGACCTGTTCTCAAGAAGCACGAGGAGAAAAAGGCTCAGTGAAACAACCGCATGTATTTTCAAGCGTTGCTCAGAAGTGTTTGCGCTCAGTTACCAAGAAACTGCACGTTGAACCGGTCATAGATTGACAGTAATATATCGATAGATGGATATAGAGGAGGAATGAGTTTTTTGAAGCGATAATTCACGAAAAAAGGATATTCACAGTACAGCACGCCACGTATTATTGAGCGGTAGTTGCACAGCTTCGGGGGACAGGTGAAAGACACTACAATCGACACAAAACTGAGCATAAAGAATCTGCTCAAGCGGAACTGATAGATCAAATCACGTTGGATTAAGAACCAAGAAAAAACAAACCTGACAACATTGCTGAGATCAACGTCAATTTCTGGGAAGCCATCACCAGTTTTGAAGAATATCAAATAGGCAAGATAGATGAATGCAGCTCCGACAGCAAATGCAAACATATTACGAGCATGCAGGCGGACCTGCATCGTAGAAGCGGAGTCGCCCTGTTGAAAAAATAAATTTGTTGTTATTTAGCGCACGATAACTCATACGAAAAAATTTAAGCGACTTATGAGAAATCTTACCAGTAGCTTATACATTTTCATCACAATGGCACCGTGCTATCAGTCACGTGCGGTTGAGCACGAACCACAAACGTGGTTCATAACAATAAAACAAGATCGTACCTGCGGCGTGTAGCGCTAAGCACAATGGGCGATCCTGTGCGTGCGGATATGAACGATTAGATCGCCGTGGCCAGCAATCTACGACAGCATCTGTGTGGAACTCGCTTTCAACAAAAGCCAGGGAGATATTTCTGAAAATATACTCACGAAAACATTACAAATGGAAGCAGGATCTGAAGCGAAATACAGTGGGCGTTCGGAAACCATATTGATTACTGAGGACGAAAACTTTTTTTAAAGTTATAATTTATTCACCCGTGCTGAGATCACGGACTATGCAAGAGGTTAAACATCTCGAGTTAACAAGATACAAAATGACGGCATATTAAAAAAATCTTCATGCAAAGATTAAACAAATAACTGGCTGACAGTAGAGATGGCTTAAGAACATTTTACGAAGAGTTTAATAACTGCTAGTGGACCACTTCACCTACTAGAAAAGGCCCTTAAACTTATAATTTATTCACCCGTGCTGAGATCACGGACTATGCAAGAGGTTAAACATCTCGAGTTAACAAGATACAAAATGACGGCATATTAAAAAAATCTTCATGCAAAGATTAAACAAATAACTGGCTGACAGTAGAGATGGCTTAAGAACATTTTACGAAGAGTTTAATAACTGCTAGTGACCACTTCCAACCTACTAGAAAAGGCTATGTTAAAAAATACATCCGATTTACAAAAGCAGATGAGAGCTAAGAAGTTAAGTTAGTGCCAGCATGTTACCGCAAGCGAGTACTATGATGTCATAAGAAAGAGTAAACTGATAAAAGTTAGCTTCAAAATATTCAAGAAGTCTTCGGTGATGATCAATATGTGAATCAAGCTTCAATGATTAAGAACCGTTACTGTCACCGTAGGTGTTAGTTTGCTGCTACGTCCTAGGCTACTATTTCCATTCCTGAAGTGTCAGTGATAATCATGAAAAGACGGTGAGCCATCACAGGGCCAAGCCGACGTCCACCTTCCGTTTGGAGTTCGGCCAGTTCTCGCACGGCAAGTGTGTAACCCATCTGAACTCCAAGATCATATCAAGTAAATATTCTGGCATTGCAACGAAGAAGGTTTGGGATAGGAAAATTCGGTGGAGACCTCTTGGAATCGACGGCCCGCTATAAACGGGTTCGGATATGCTGCCATAAGAGCTCGCCTTTGCCCGTCTTGCATACGACAAATCACTGCCAGCATTTTATTCCACCAGTCACGAACCATCTCATCTGGTGGCGCATCTTTGACGCCCTGAACATCGGCAGCATGAAAAAACACAAGAAACTTTTCGGAAATGAGCACTATTTATACTTGATTGTATCACTCTTCAGGACCCAAGATTTGTTTCTACTAAAAATTATTTTCTTGCGGTCCAAAATTTGCCCCTGAGAGTGCAAACCCTCTGAACACAAATGCCGCTCAAAGGGGGAAATTCGCGATGAGCTAGCGAGAAGTTCTTTCAGGTGTCGGGGCTAGAAACAGAAGTGCACTTTGCAGCTGACTCGCAGCGGATTTAAAAAAAAAACAGAGGTAACAGTCTGGAAGGTTCGAAGTCAGGCTTTCCGTGTGATAAGCGACAGGCAAAAAATAGATGTGGTTCCCGGACCAGAGGCCACACAAGAGCGACGAGAGAGCACGCAAACGAGTAAAGCAGCCCATAAGATATCTATCAAAAGAGGGGAGTCACTGGCTTTTGGCCGAGCCACTCTCTTGTTCCCTACAGCAGCTAGTTCACAAATTTCTGACACGATATAGGGTTGTTCATTGCGGTTTCCACTCTCTTTGCCTTCAAAGAGCATATACTTACAGGTGACCGGGACCGCTCCTTTGAGGCAAAAGTGGCTGGCGCCCGAAAGGCTGTCGGCAACGACTAGGACCCGCCTAGTTGTCCCCACGGGACGTTTTCGTACCGACAACCGAAGCGTCCACCGCATCAGGCCTAACCGCGACACGCGAATGCGAATTCTTCTTCATGGTGTCATACTACCCCTTTGGACTAATATTCAGCTCATGTTGTGATTTAACGTGCTTTGGAGGGGAGCTAGGCAGTCCCTAGCCAAGCGATACTCAAGTGAGGATGGTGAAAAGTTCTCTCCAGGGACCAGATTTTCATCTAATTCTACCCCGAGGAACATTTTTGATCTAAATCCGACCTGACTTTAGAGGACTGAGAAAGTAGAGGGTAAACAGTACCATATGTGTAACTCAAAAGTAGAAAAGTTCGTATGTGAAAACGTACACGGAAACTCACCTTCTCTACATCGACGACCAGTCGGTCGTGGTGAGCTTGACAGCGTTCCATTTTGGCTAATGCACGACTGATTTGAGCAAGATAAACGGCAAATTCTTCCGCACTGTGAACATAATGCAACTGAGTTCGATAGCAATCAAACAGCTCGATTGCAAACTCGAACATCTAGAAGACAGCAATGCTTTTTCGCAAATAACGATGAATATCTCGGTGAAAAGCCCACCTGACGAGAATCATTCCCGAAAACTATGAGGACCAGTGTTGAATTCGCAACAGAATACGACAACTTTTGTGTCGCAACAAAGTCTTCCATGCTATTACTTCTAACAAGTTCTTTAAACGAATCACAGGACAAAACTACAGCGAATAAATGTTGTGGAGCCTATAATGCGAAGAATGAGGAAAACCGTGAGGCTACACAAAACATGCTCTAGATACTTACGAAATATTCACGTTTATCCACCATACCATCGTTTTCCACTGCTTCAATGCACTTACGATTCCACAGTATTCGCATATCAGGGCGTTGTTCGTCACAAATCAATTGATCTTGAATGTTTCTTTCGGCGAAAAGCATACGCAAACGAAGTTCTGTTTCCGCTTAAAGACAAGTTTTTATGGAACTCAGCTGTAGTTCTACATTAAGCTGCGTTCACACTTTGCGGCGGCGTCCACCAGCGAACGCCAGCGCCCACCAGCGTCTGCGACTAGGAAATAGTAAATATCGACCTAGCAAGTGCTAGCGTTTACCAGCGTCTCGGGGGACTAGGGAACTAAAGGTGCCGATCTGGCAAACCCCAGCGTCCACCAGCGTACAGCAGCGCTTTCGTAAGCTCTTTAAAACT